AGTAGCGAACATTGTTCCTACTAGTAAGGCCAGGAGCCCCCAGTAGCGAACATTGTTCCTACTAGTAAGGCCAGGAGCCCCTAGTAGCGTCCTTGCTCCCAGTAGGGATGCCCTTTGCTCCTAGTAGCGTCCTTGCTGACATCCTAAATCTACCAATGCGCAGGTGAAGGCTTTGCGGACTCCACCGTCCTCCAGGAGTCTTCACCACCCGCTGCTTGTTGGACTTGGTGTTGTAGCGGCACCTTGGTGAACCAAATAAGCTTGTTTCCAATAGCTTCTTGTTACTACTAGTAAGGTACTTGTTACTACTAGCGTGGCACTTGTTACTAGTAGTAACAAGAAGCTACAAAATCTCGCTGTTTGGGACCTTGGTATTTCAAGCCCAGGACTGCCGGCGGTAAGTCAACCGAAATGCCATCCTCAAAGCACAAATTGCTCGCTCTTGCCAAAGTTTTGAAGGCCCACGGAAAGCTTGAAACGAAGAAAGAGAAGGAAGAAAACAAGTTGTTTGGGCCTCTTTAATGAGGCCCTTTTGAAGATTTCTTCCAACACCCATCTCTTTCTATCAGACTTTTCAACATGCCAGTGGTCCTTGGAGTGCAACGGACACAGCTCCAGCCCCAACCACCCGAGCCAAGCTTCGCAGCGGATATTGCACAGTGAATGCAAAGACAAAAATGACTCCGCCTCCAACCTACTAGCGATGGCCTCCAACCTAGGATGTCTGTTTCTGTGTGGGTAAAGCAGACCCGCCACAATTCTCCAAAGAAGGCCCTGCAAACCACACGCTCACGCCGCGATGGCTTGATGCTGGTGCATCCACAATTCGATGGCCTCCAACCTAGAAGCGATTTAAAAGAAAGGCAGATCCAACAATTCGTTCATACCATCTTCTGTCGGAAACCTCTTTGGCTTGTGTGACAGACCCTTCCGCGTGGCCCTCTATTTTCAGATGTGGGTGCGCCAATCGTTGCAGTGCATATTGCAGGTCGGTGAGAACAAGTGACCAGGCAGAGCTGCGACAAGGAAGTCATCCTAGCACCTTCAATGACTGGCTCTGAGCATGCGGAGGGTGTTCAAAAGAACACCTCTCTATCTTTCTTGAGACGACCCAAAAAAACTTAAGAATATAGAGAATATTAATAAACCAAAATTACTTTGCCAAACCAATCATCGAAATGGTCGTCTCCATCGTGTATGAGGTGAGGCATTCCAGACCCACGTCTGGCCAAGGCCCTAAAGAACGTCATAGCAATGGCTTCCAACCTAATTGCGATGGCCTCCAACCTAAAAGGATACTTTAAAAGAAAGGCAGATCCAACGCAAAAAGGCATGTAAAGTCTCCCTTGAAAGGGGCCTTAGAAACAAATAACATCCTCTTCTTTCTCAGCTTCAACTCTTGTCAGAACTGCCAGACCTAAACTCTTTGATTCTTGTAAGATCTACATAGGTTGAGATTTGATCCACCTTGGCTCTTGTGATGATTCCCTGGCCAAATGAACTCTGTTTTCAAAACAGACTTGGCCCGAAGCCTCAGTTGCCTTTTGGTGCCTCAGCAGCATTGCGCTGTGCCATCGCCAATGCTTCCCAATTTCGGCTAAGGATGCTTTCGTTCTACCCACTCTCGCAGAGTTAGTGTTCATCTTCCCTGCTTCCCAGACTCTTCAGAGTTGAAAATGGCCCTGCAAAAAAAGGGGATTGGGAGCGCTGGTCTGAAAAAAGAGGCCTGTGGTGACAGGGTACAAGAAACATGTTGCATTCCTTTGCTTCCTGCAAAGGTATGAAGTCAAGCAGGAAAAGTATGGAACAAAAGAGTAGCTGATGGGTCCCAAATCTCAAAACAAAAACTGCGGCTGCTCCTAATTAAGATGTCGCCAATAATTTTCAGTACTTCCACCAAAGACTTCCCCTTTGTGTCTTTTTGCGTTCGAAATTTCAAGTGTCAAACTCGGCCCAACGGTCCAATCGACCTTAAGAACTTCACGTCCAAACTGGCCCTAATTCTGGCACCAGCCATGGGAACCTAATTCTAATGGGCCTCCAACCTACTAGCGATGGCATCCAAAACTTAGGCACCCACACAGCACTTGTCCTAGTCAGCGTTCTCGTCATCCTCTTCATGCTGATAGCCGGTCTTTGGTACACCTTCAAGGTGACTTTCGCACAGGAGTCTTGCTTCCGACCATTGAATATGTGAACATGTGCCGACTTAATGTAGCGTCGGTCACTTTCAGGGATATAGTCAATATATAGTCCTTTTATTGAAAAAAGTCACGGTTCAAGTCAGCAACAAAACTGGGCTCCCTGCATGCGCCGCAGCTGAATGGACATTTCCTCAGGACAGAACGAACATATTCGAGATGCAAAGGATTCTAACATCTGAAACCGCTTTGTCCGACTTGGAATGTGGCAAACAGGTGTCCTGGAGGTCCCTTACCCGTTCGTTCTATGAGATCTCATTGCAAAATCTTTGGGACAACTCTAGACCAAAGCTCTCCCTTTGCTACTACAAGGGCTGCGGGTGCAGAGTGCCTTACGCGCCTTTGCAAAAAGACTTGCTAAAGGTGTCCCTCCCCGTGCGTCAACCTGGACTGCTTGCTACCAAAGCACTTCTGCACGGCAGAAGAGTTTGAATGATGAAGGCAGTAGAAACTGGCGACAACAATCAAGGATAGGTCTGACTAATGGAGGGGCTTTGCCTCCTCAAACCTATGTGGCTTGTGATTTCGGCATCATCTTTTCAAGAGTAAAATCAATGGTCGGCCTTCATGCTTGAGTTCAAGGAGAGGTGTTTCACACATTCGTAGAGCATTCCTACTTTGCACAATCGTACTTCCTCAGTGCAGCATGAATATCGCGAAACGGAGCACCCATGTTCACAAGTCTCTCCTTCGACCGACCAGAGACACTCTCTGAGACGCCTCTTTGGATTGAGAAATGCTCCCTGCCTAACATTGGAGCACTCTTGGGCTTTGCCGCGGAGCAACAGAACTGGCGACTCGTGCATTGGTCTGTCGCGGCATCCTGCAGAAAGCCGGCCCTGCCGAGACACTTCAAATCGAAGCTGAAGCTGACGTACACTGATAATCCTTGTTTGGCCCTGATACTTCATTGGGAAAAACTTTCAGAGAGTTCTACCATGGTGAGCTGTCCTTCATCATCGCCACCTAAGAAGATCTAACAGAGACGGCAACAAGCACTATCCAGCTGAAAAAAGACGTTGAAGGCTATCCCTAGTAGCTTGGATACCATCTCTAGGTTGGAGGCTATCGCTAGTAGGTTGGAGGCCATCGCTAGTAGGTTGGAGGCCATCGCTAGGTCGGAGGCCATCGCTTCTAGGTTGGAAGCCATCGCCAGTAGGTTGGAGGCCATCGCCTTCTAGGTTGGAGGCCATCGCCTTCTAGGTTGGAGGCCATTGCTAGTAGGTTGGAGGCCATCGCTTCTAGGT